CCCGAATCACGAAAATGTGATTCGCGAATCCCGAATCACGAAACGCGAATCCCGAATCACGTTTTCCGGAGGCTTCTCCGGATCACCACTGCTTGGTGCCCTTCTCTTGACGAACATACACTTCCAAAACATTCCAAAACCACTGGGTTTGGTGGTCTGGTGCTTAAGTTCACTTCAGTGTCGGCAAACAAGTTTTGTTGAATGGCCGAGGACAATGAGGACAAGTGGCGCCAAGCGGGCAAACAGATTTACGGCTTTCTCCCACTCACCTGCAGCGCGCCGGCATCAATTTTGCCATATTTGGAACCGCGACACAAATCCCACACCCGTCACACCCCACCACCAAGCAGAAACTCCCTCAAATAGTCCCTCTAAAAGTTGTTTTTGACTTTCTCACTGTCTGTGACCGTAATTAGCCGCCAGCGTTGTGAAACCTAGCATGAAATTCGTGTGAAACACATCATCTCTGCTTCATGAAAAGGTCCCCGTGGTAATCGGGCGCCATCCGTTGCTCATGGAAAGCGCGGTCAGCTTGTAGCCACTGAAGCCACAGCTCAAGCTCAGGCACAGTATTCCATGGATCACCTGAGTGCGATTTGGTATGATCTTCTCTCTGAGATGAGCCTCCTTCTTCACCATGATCTGTAGCCACGCCAGCTCCGTAATTTTTGATCGTCTGTTTTCTATATACTGATCTGGTCGTCGAGATCGGCTGCACCCTTCCAGTCCTCGGCAGCTACTTTGATGTCGAGTTCTCTCAAAAGATCGAGCTTCTTCAGCTCAGTCTCAAAGCAGTTGGCTGCGTGATAATCCTTTCGGAAGATTGCACTCTGAAGATCTTGCTTTACGATGTCCTCCGTCCTTTCCTTCTGCAATCGCTTCGATTGCACTGCTGAGGACGCTCATAGCCACGCGGCCCTTTCTGCCAGGCATTCTTGGCGAATGGCGCAGTGCAGGCCCTCAAAAAGCAACAAATCTCAAAATCCTTCACACTACTTCACACCCATCCCAACCAGTTGCCATACCTGTCAGACCCTTCCCACCTCCCCCTTCACTCAGCTCTCCAACCCAGGCCTTCCTTCACCCAAAGATCCATCTCCGCGCTCCGCGCGCCCAGCCCGCCGCCCAGCCGCGCGCACAGCGCCACGGCGCTGCGGCTCGCGCCCCGCGCGGCGTGCAGCCGCAGCTCGTCGGAGACGCCGAGCGCGGCGGGCGCCGTGGGGCGCCCGTGCAGCGCCCCGAGGCGCAGGCCCGGAGTGCAGCTCGGCAGCCTGGGGTGCGAGCTGGAGCGGCATGGGGAGCGGCCGTTGAGGAAGAGTGGCGGCCGTTGAAAAGAGACAACCCAATGGCAAACAATGCAAAAGCTTTGAATGGAATCCCAAAGGGTTTAGGTGTTGTGGATGCAACTTGGAGGGTGGAAAATCGAGTGCAAATTCTTTTGGGGCTAATGCCGGACCACGCCCTGGGATCCTTCCGCTGCTGACCCGGGTTCCTAGTAGCCCGTTTTTCTGCCTAGTGTTCCGCCTGGGAACTTGAAGCCGTGTCAGGCGTTTGAGGGGGGGGAACGACGCCATATCCACTTGGCCATACCAGGCCCTGAAAATGTACAGTAACATGTCTATAGGGTTGTTGGATGGGGGCGGCTGGTTGGTTCATTAAGGCTGTTTCGATGGCCCTGTTCGGTGTGCCTGAGATTGGAACAATCATGGTGTGCGGCTGCTGGTGTTTTCAGAGCGTTCATGGTCGCTGTAGTACTGCAGGTGTATTATCCCCTCCTGTGGATGGATTGCGAACACCTGCACAAAGTACACTTGAAGTTCTCGCTTAATCAAGCCCCAATCATCTTCACTGCGTTGATTCATCGATGCTGGTCTGCCCCAACCACATACAAAAAACCTCGGGTCACTTTGAAAACCGTCCATGATCGGGAAGCCCGGCTGCAGCCACAGCCCGGACTCAGTGTCTCTACACGTGATCCTCTGCCGGACTCGTTTTCTGCCACACGAAACTCGTGATCCTCTGCCGAAGGGACCACTCCTCAACGGCTTGGGGAAGAAACTCGGGCAACAAGAAGACGTCGCCTGGTGAAGTCGAGTCGTCGAGTCTCGGCTGGTGAAGTCGCTCCGGCGCCCCGGAGAAAGCTCTGTGAAGAGGTGGGGAGTCCAATCATGGGAGGGGTTCTTAATCAAGAGTACTATGCATTAAGGCATGCCTTGACCCGACAGCAATGTTTCAACAGTGCGGACTTTACATCACCCAAGCTGCGTACAAAGTTGCAAGACTCCGGATGGAACAGACCAATGCCGAAACCCACAGAAAGTGGTCGACATCTCTATCTCTTCCATCATCTTCCGTGATGTGCACTTTATATAGATCTCTCTTGAACCATGTGAAACCTTCCTGTGGCCATCCGTCTACATGTTTGGTCAGGTCAGCCTGCGCCGTGTCCAGTCAGGCTCCACTCCGTGTCACGGACCGTGCCCGTGGCCTTCCTCGTTGCAAACCACGCGAGGGGACGACATCTCCTCTTCCCTCGCGTCGGCCGGGGACCGCTCGGAGACCACGAAAGGAACCGCCGACAGAGTTAACCAGTGGGTCTCCCCACCGGTTGAACTACGAAATTCTGAACATCTGCAACGAAATGTAGAGAAAGCATGGAGAAAGCAAAAATCCTGACCATAAAAGTGACGAAAACAACATGAAATGTTCGACATGAATAGGTGTGTTGCATTGTTTTTCCAGCCAGGTGAACCGGTAAACTTGCAAAAGTGAAACGACAGGAAGCGAACCGCTTCACCATCATCCCTATGAGTCGACTCATTGATTAAATAGCCAAACCGCACCAGACATGGAGTGTAAGACCTTCATGGTCCCTGGGCCTGTCTGGGTTGTCCAAAAATATAGCCCCTCACAGGTTGGTTAAGGTGTCCATGAACCATGCCATGGCCAGGGAGCCCCGGTATGGGGGGGGTTGGAGAATCATCAAGAGGCAGTATGTTCTTTCTCCAGGTTCGACTCACCTGGACCTGACCCAGACACTGGGACTGAGAATTCTGTTGCACCGGCAGAAAGCACAACTTGTCTGTGTTTGCTTTTAGCTCCTAGTAGTTTTTTGTTCATATTACTAGTCATGCCCTTGTTGCTAGTAGATTCTTGTTACTAGATTCTCTTAAATGTATATAGAACAAATCTCTCTTTTGCCGTCACCCATGTGACCCATGAGCCAAGGAACGTCAAAGGAGGCCAGTATCCCTCAGCGTTGGCTCATGAAGAGGGAATTCTTGAAATCGTCAGCTTACAAAACAATGACATGAGAATTCAACAGAACCGCCTGCGTCCCCTTCTGTAAATTATCACCTTAAACTGCCTGTGTGCCTGTTGAATCACCTCTTCAAACCGATGTTTCCAATCGCACAGCCTATCACAGGCGCCTCGAGTTTTGCCACGCGAACAACAATCCCCGGTACCAGCCAGGAGAATGACACCAAGTCAGGTAGCGTGTGGCCAGGGGCTACATACCCACTGCATCAATCAAGAAACTGCTGTGGAAATTCTGAAGGGAAAGTTCTGTGTCAGTAGTACACTCTTGTGACTTGATTGAGGGAAGTGCAGTGCTTCCAAAGCATGTCTTGTCCCGTCCTACATTTGTTTATTGAATAGCCTTCGACCGCAGCAGCCGACCGCACGCTACTGTGTTTTTTGCCAAGGCAACGTGGACTACATGGCCGAAAAGCAAACTACATTGCGCCATCAAGTCGAGGCTGTGCACAACAGCCAACCACTTGTATCCACTTGTCCATATCAACACTCCTTGGAACTAACATGGTTACGTGGCATGGCATGGCCCCGAAGACCAAACAGGAGGTGGACTCCACGTAATCAGGCCGTGAGTTCCAGGGAGATTCATTTGTTCCTCTTGACTTGACTGTTCATGTGGTTGATGTTCAAAACATTGAAAAAAAGGAGAGAAAACTGCTGGAAAACTGCTGGCAAAGTTGCAATACTCGCTTCAGCTGCTTCTCTCAAGCCTCTGCAGGGAGAAGAATGCGTTGATGGAAGGACATGGAAATGCATTTGCTGAGTTCCCCGGTAGTAGATTGAGTGACTCCAATGTGACATCCCCTAAGATCCAGCGCAAGCATCAACCATTCAGGACCAGATGACCACGTGCCGCATGGAAACTTGAAACCCCCTCATGGCAATTGTTGCTTCGACATCTGCGTCCGCGGTCAGATATCCCTGTAGATCATTGATATCATCTATACTACAACAACTAAAGAGATGAAATCCTGCAGAAGACCGTTCAAACATGGAGCATTCCCACTCGCTGACCAAGCAAAGGAGGCTGAGCAAACATCCCATGTCGGTGATGGTACCCTCGAGAGGAGCGTTCCCAGCCCTGACATGTTGGGTATTTGCTGGAAACCAAAAGAACCATAAACAGCTCTGGTTGGAACTCAATATGGCGCCAGAAACCTGTGTCTGGTTGGTTTCCGGGGGAGTCCAGGTTGGTCTCCGTTGTCCCGTCTTCCCTGGTCAATGTGTCTTCACCTGTAAATGACATGGCCCATCCCAAAGAATCCAAATGTCATGACGCCAGACGCGAACCCCCTCAACAAAGACTTGATTCAAGGCGCGTTTGTTTTTCCAATGGAAAAAACCCTATATCGGTCCAATTCTCTTTGAGTTTTGTTCTATCTTCTCCGACCTCGCTCCAGTCGCTGAGGAGAGTTCAGTGAGACGGGGTGGGGTGGGTGGGGTGCCAGCCAGTCGGGTCCAGTCATTCCGAACCTGAGGATGTAGCAGGGGTAAGCCCTTGTAGGTGGGTACAAGATTGCATACTTTTGCCTTTTGTTCTCATGAATCTCCAGTGCCAAACCTCCCTTTTCACCCCGAATTCATGCGACTCACGTGGACGATCGACCCCCCTTTTTGGCCCATCGACGATCGAGGCGCTCGACCCGCGGAACCTTGTAGCTCCTGCGGCTTCAGGACCCGCCACCCGCCACGGCGAACGCGGCCGGTGGCCGTGGTGGGGGACGGCGCACGCGGCGGCGTGCCTGGCGGTCGGTGGCGCAGTGGTGGGGGGAAGGAAAAGGGCCGACCGCCATGAGGCCGAGGTCCCTGGGAAAGTAAGTTTTAAAGTGAAATTGGTAAAATCATAGATGGAATTTAGGTTGCCATGTTGGTACAACCACAGCTGTTTTCTGTGAGTTTCCAGATGGCTCCTGCAAGTTTTGTTTCAGGCGGTGACCCGGTCTGGTCGCCGAGGGTTGAGGGTACCTGGAGACCTTTCATCTACGCTCCCTTTCTACCAGCTGGTTGATCAAGTGCCCTGCTCAGGTGTCCCATCACCTTCTGAGAGGGTATGTCATCAATGTGAATCCATAGGGATAGGGAAATAGGGAACCCCCCTGACCCAATGGGTTCTGGTCTATGTTCTGGCAGGTCTCACTTTTCTAGCCATTACACACCCATGTCATGTACTAAGCTAAGCGACTAAGTTCGGCCAATGTCTAGTGTTTGTTCGTTTTCAGGGACCTGCAAAAGGTTTACAGGTTGCGGGTGCCTTATGATTGCACTCAAATCCCGAGAACTAGTTTTGTCAACCTTCGGGGTTCTTGCAGAGTGATGACCACACGCTTCAGAGCTAGGTTCTCCTCCTCAGCCCAAAGACCACATCCGACCAGCTCTCCCACCTTTCCTCAAGCAGGCCACAAAGAAGCCCTCGCAATCCCATTCGTGGGGCCACAGTCGCAACACACGCGGAACACGCGGGCGCTCTCGCTCTCGGCTGTGTAGCCCCAGCCTGGCGGACCAGGCAGCCAGTCCGGTGGAACGTCACCCGCGTTCGCGGTCGAGGGCTACGGAGCTTCGGTGGAGTGCGGAGTCGCTCTGGTGGTTGGAGCAGATGAGGGTCATCTCGGTCATCTCTCAGATTCCATATAGTTCGTTTGGGGGGAAGTTTTCGAGGGCCGGTTTGGGTTTTGCTGGGGTGTCTTTTCTTTTTTGGCTCTGATCATTCAGACGTGAAGGATGGTTAAGGGGTGGTGAATGGGTGTCCATGAGCCACCCAAAGAGGGGGCCCTGGTAGAAGTCTCAATCATTGCACGACTTGTTCTTTGTTCTATACCCCTTGGTGGCCTCTGTCTGTGAGACGCACGCCCAATTTTCCAGGAATTAGTCTTAGTGCATTCAATCTAACATGTCACAAGACTGTGTTCTTTTCTAGAAACTTGCTTTACGTTTGCCTGCTGGAATGATGTTGAAAAGGACTTCGCAGATAGACTCCCAAATTCCTTTCATTTGAATGGCATCCAGAAAGATGGTTTTTCTTGGGAAAACCTGGCGTTTTCCAGGTCCATGCGAGCTTTCCAGGGTGTACTGTATTTTGTAGAAGCCCCTTGCCTTCTGCTTTGAAGTTCTGAAGATAGACTCCACTTTCGAGCAAATCGCTTGGAACTGACCAGAAAGCAGGTCTTTCGAACTGACTGGTACTGGTAGGTTAAGGGAGTGTTGCACACCGAATGCACTCCGAAGAATGGATTCACCTCTGAAAAGGTCTCAAATACAACGGTGAGGGTGACATTTCCCGACGGTCAGAGGAAACCTCGAAATCCCACGTTCCCGGCGTTGGGTGGGTCATCGCGGAACGGCGAATCAAAGAGTCCGTGGCTGGTTGTTTTTGGGTTCTCAACTGGACAGTTGATGACAGTTGTATCCGCAGGATCCATCCCATATACGTCAGGGTTTTTCTAGCTGATTTCGCACCACGTGATATCAATATGATTCATGATCACCTTCCTTCAGACTCCAAGCAGACACAACACGATACACTGCTTGGAATCTTAGCATGGTTAATGGCGATGGCATGGCCCCAGAAGGAAGACCCTTTCCGAATACCAAGCAGGGGGTGGACTCCACTTCCGTGTCACTTTCAGGGAGAGTATCAACACACAGATGGGTATAGACAACGATCGTACGATGTTCATCCCACCTGGATGGGATATCCATGAGCTCAGCTTCTGGCAGAACCGTCAGGACCTCCTCATTCTCCTCATTCGGCAGTCGCCGTTGCCGGGCTTCGATTTCTCTAAAGCACTACTGTCATCCAGGAGTCACATGTCGGGATGCCGAACTTGGAGGATAGGGATGCCCAGTACCTACTCACTGACGGGCCTAGAAACCTCCCAGCCTTGTGCTGGATGGATGGGATTTCTTGAAGGAACTTGTTGTCATTCCGCGAACGAACGACGATCAGTTCAGTCTTCGTTCGTCATAGTCGTGAACTCGCCAATCTTAAGTAGTGGGTCAATCGCCAGCGTGCCAGAGTACTAAAGTTAATCTTCGTAGTACTTGCGTGCCAGTATACTCTCTTAAGTAGTGGTTACCAGTGCCCCTCAAAACCATGAAAAACAAAGGTGTTCACATACAAAAACCATGTTTTTGTCCTAGGGAAAACTAGGTGTTTGATGGTTTGTGGTGCCCCATGGATAATCTTAATTTAAGTAGTGGTTCATCTCTTTCTTTTGCGTTTTGGTCGATCTCCTTCCGTTCCCCGTCACAGCAACTGGTCGTTCCCGTCTCCACACGTGACGGGATCGACCAGTCGTGGGCGGTGCCGACGGGGTGCGATGGATCGACTGGATCGCTCGGTGGCGTCCAAAAGGGTTCCACTGAAGAACTCCCAAACCAAAAAAAAAAACAGAAAAGACATATAGAAATTCTCAAGTGGAAGGAAGAGGAAAACTCTCAAGAGTTTTTGCTCGTCTTCCTCCTTTCATGGACTATATGGATCCTCAAATACATACCTGGTACTTAAAAGCATCGCGATATATGTACGGATGCCTACACGTTTGTGGCTGCCTCTGTCGCATAGGCCGTTGTCTCCCAGACATGCATGCGACATAGGCCGGGGTCTGCATTGGTGTTTTGATCATTCCTAGGACCCACTGTCGGGATGGTTAAGACACCCCGAATCACCTCTAAGGAGCTATCAAGTTCCACACCCCTTAGGCCGTAGGGTGTCCTGGTCTATCACCTCTTGACTCAGCCGCCAAGGTCCGAAACGCACACCTTCTGACTCAGGGGCCCGGGACTAGGGTTTTATGGATGGGAGCGATAGGACCAGTATCTATTGTGTTATACTTTTCGTGTCTGGGTACAGTACCAGAGGTCATTCCATGGTCATTCCGTTGCTTCATTGAAAAGCCCCTGGTCTCGCGTGCGTGGGGCCCAAACCATGCCGCCGTGCCGCCTGCGCATTGAGCGTGCAGGTGGAATAGACCAAGAAGCCACCCGGGCCTCCGTTAGATGTGGAGCCGCGAAGTGCAGGCTGCTTGCAGCGCCGCATCGAGCGGTGGAAAGCAAGCTGGTCATGACTTGGATGCGTAGTTTCGGGGGAGTTGGCCATGGGGATTGGAAGCATTGCAAGTTGGAGTTGCTTTCCAGTGAGTGAGGATCTATATTTCTACCAACTGGCAGGAAGAGCTAAAAGGATCCATCCTAAATCCATCCAATCTGCTGGAAGGCACGGAATCTGTTCCACTTCAGCAGGACCAAATTTTGGATGTCATGATCTCATCAAATCTCCTGTCAAAACTGAACGTGTCCGGAACGAAAGGGACCTCCCACGATCCACCGATATCCACTTCACGCGTCGATGTGAAGCCACCCGGCCAAGTGAAGCCCTCCGGATCCAAACCGAGAATCCAGCTGAACCGAGCGGCGCAGCAGCTGCCAAGCCTTCAGCAGCAGCTTCTTCTGCAGCTGGGCATTCGCCTCCTTCAGCTGCAGGTAGTTGGGCGCTTGGAGGCGTGACAGCACCTGAAGGAGAAGATTCTCCCAAGGCCACTGACTGCGAAGGATCCAACATGCCCGCCCTCCCTCTAAAATGAGCTTTTGTGTGCAGCACCACAAGTCAGTATGGCTGTTGGTGCTGGCAGTGGAACCAGGACCATTGAAGTGAACAGAATGGAAGGGAACTCTCCAGTCAGGTTCTGATCCATGCCAGTGGACAGAGACTTGCTCAGATGCCATCACTTGCAGGATTGCAGAGTGAGCAAGGGCAAGGCTTGCAGCAGGTCAAATTCACCATGCTCTGCATCATCCAGTTTTCACCTACATGTAGCCTAGACCACATAAAAGTGATGGACAAAATCTCTGGCCACCGGCTTGCCGGCTTCAAGGGACCCTTTGGAGGATGGTCAGGGGAGATGGCCCCCCGAACCTCTTTCTATTCTAAACCAACCACCAGGGCCGACCCCAAACCATGTATGTTGTCCAATCCTCATGTGTCTGTTGGTCATATAAACAGTTGGACTCTTTGGTTGGTCAAAATGCTGCTTGGACTCTTGGGTTGTGGACCAGCCGCCAGAAAATGATACGTTCCCAAATCCAATCATGAACATCTCTCACTCACAGGCCAGCATGAATTTGATCTCTGGCTTTTAAGATGTATACCTCTTATGTATACTGTGTATACTGTATATACTACTCTTAGTATTATCCAAAATCGATCCTCTCCCCAGTCCTACGTGAGTCAGTCCCCCTCTCCCCAGTCATGTTTTTCGGCGGCACCATGCCTCAGGAATGCGCCGCAGGTTCCCTTCCGCGCTGCAGGGCGCATCCAGCAGGATGGCTTCAAAGCAGCCCGCGGTGCTCGCCCGCGGGAGCTGACTGCCGTCCTCCTGAGACGGACACCACGAAGGTCACGAAGGTCAGAGAGTTCGAGTGATGACGAAGGTCACTGAGTGAAGAATCAGATCGAATGCTCAGACGAAACGAGATCGAATCCCTGAAGAATGGTGTGCTTCTTGGAGAGTTCGATGGCCTGAGGGTACTGCGCAAGGCTGTTTGTGTTGTCCAAACAGAGACTAATTCAGGGTGTGTCCAAACCAAGTGGGATGTGAAGCGCCAACGATTCGTGGTGTTCACAGCAATGGATCAATCATTGGATAAATCTTGATTTATGCTTGCACAGGCAAAAGAAGAACCTAGATCATTCCTATATCCTCCTGATCATACTGACTAGTCTGATGAGCCGACACTCCACCAGCTGATTGGGTTGGTCTCTTCCTCCGAACCCGTTGGAAAGGGCCGAATCATGTGGATTGTAGTCCTCAAACAGGGCACCAGCCCAGCGACGTTTGGAGAAGAAATCGGATGCAAGATGTAAAAAGAACTCTGAGCAATGCGGACGTATGTGTCTTTTTTCCAGCATCTTGGAAGGTACTTGGGGAGCATGCAAATCTCTAGCAAACCTAGGTGTTTTATGGCAAAGAAGGCTACGTAGTACAACACATCTCAGATTATCCAAACATGTTTGTTTGCTTCGGAAAGAGAAACGACAACACACTAAAAACTGGTATGATGCATGTGTAGGTCCGGTGGATGGACGTTCCATTTCTGCAGTGTCCATTCTGAGTTGTCCTCCAACACTCCATAGGACTGCCATATTTGCCGATCAATTGAGGTGGTTTGGGGGTCCATGCAGGCATTCATATTATGGCATCTTAACATACATGGAGTCGTGTCTTCTTTTTGTCTGATCCGCTCAATTTCTCCGAAGAACTGCACATCCCGGTGCACGAAAATTCCCTATATCAAGTGTCAACCCCATCTGAAAAGCTCCTTCTTTGCTGAGATGAATCATCTCCCAATGAGTATACGGCTGCCAAATGACTTCTCAGCTGCCTTCAGCCTGCAGAACACGTTCTTTCTCCCTCCTTTGGGGGGAAACCTCCTGTCTGATCCGTCCAAGCCGCTTGCAAGATCAAGCATCGCTCCGCAACGCCTCCGGTCCGCGAGGCGAGGTCACTCCTCTACTGGGTCGACCTGCTGCCCCCCTTGGTTGGAACAAAGAGTAGGTCATGCCCCCTCTGCGGAGTGTGTTGGCACTGGAGGTTGGCACCATCTAGACGCTCTGTATATAAAAGGGTTTAATCCCACCAGCGGTTCAGGGAAGAACGACTTGTTTTCTGGGTGTCTTTCTTCGAGAATTTGATTCCTGCTGGTAGGAGGGGAGACAAGTCCACAACATCTACCAAGCATGGGTGTCTCTGTATGTGATTCTCTCATTTTCCACCGTGGGTATCTCTGTACCTTGGTCAGTTCCAGTACAGCGCTTTGTCTGGATTAGCCAATCAGCCTTGGTCCGCGCGGGCGTCCGTGCGCAGCGCGGACGCAAGTGCTGTGCCTGTCTTCAGCAGATTGCAGCGCAGCACTTGCGCCCTCTGCACGTTGGGCTCATTCACCACCAAGACTGCATCACCTGGGAGGGGCAGGGAGGACTTCCAATCACTACGAGTGGGGAAGAGGCTGAGTTGAGCATTGAAATGGAGTGTGTATATATATATATATATAATGAGATGTAATGTGTCATGAGCAATGCATAATTTGAGCTTTTTGGGGTCTTGGTGGTTCAGATGCCGACAGACTCGATCGCTCTCGACAAGATGCTCTTGCTCGAGTCTCGTCCTGAACATGCGGAGCCCCTATGATCGGGAGACAGTTCCCACATCTGGTGGTGTAGCTATTGGTGTGGAACCTAGGCCTCCTCAAACCAACCAAAAAAACAAACATGTGTAGCTGTTGTTTACTGCAAGGCCGTGAAAGGCAATAGACAACATCAACATGTCGTAAACTGGTTGAAGTTGTTTCTGCTGAGCCGAGGTTTTGACACATACAACTTCAACTTCCGCCTGGAAACGTCAACGTGTCCATTCAATATCTCTACAGGGAGATCACCATGGTACTTTCAATACGTTCAGGCCAAAGGATTCGCTACTGCTACGGATTTCCTTCTGGAGAGCATCGTGCACTATCACCACCGACTTGATTGCTTGATACCTCGACCTACAACGTTGGATAGATTCTAGTATACTGTTGAAATGATAGGAATCCTCCGATAATATATAATGACAGGTCAGTTTGACCTCATTTTAGTCAAGTTGATTCATAGTGTGTTGCTTCCTCCATGAGCTTTGCAGGACCAAGTTTTGCAGGACCAAGTACTGGACATGTAGGGATCCGCGGACTCACCGGCCATGTTGGATGCCGACGATCCGCGTTTCAATACGTTTGCACCATCTTCTCATCAAGTTCCCGTCTTTGTTGGTCCACGCGCCGTGGCCATCACCATTGGCTCAAGTGACCGTGGTGGTTTGTGTGGGGGATTGCCCCAAAACGTTCTGAGGGGAAGTATTGTAATGGTTCAATGTTTGCATGACTCTCCATCGTGGCTCGTTACCCATCAAGTCACGATTGGAAAACCAGAATGGAATATGGCGCTGCGGACCCCATCCCGCACCAAAAGCAGACCATGCCTCCAAATCACTTCATGCCCCATTCTTTCCATACAGAATCTGCATGACCTCTGCCTTCTTGACGAAACCAGAGGCAGTTCCAGCAACCAAACACCCTTGTTGCCAGCTAGGCCCCCAGCAACACCCATGCACCAACGCGGCCAGGCACGGTGCAGCTTCAGCGCCAGTTGGGAGGCCTGTGAGGTGAGGGAGCTAAGAGCAATTCGTTGACGGTCTGCAGCAACTGCAGTGATTGGTTCACCAATCGCATTGACGAAACACTTCGCGGTCCATCTCCCCGGATCTTCGTCGCCCCCCAAGAGTCGGCCCAACTTGGACGGTGGGCGAGTCGCGAGTCGCACTCCAAAAGAACCAAACAGCGTCCTCCTCCCCACCGAAGGCCCACTCAAGTAGTCAACTTTGCGAGTCTGGCGCCCAAAATAACCCCAAACATGTGAGCCTTGGAGCCAGGAGCAGAGCACAAATCCAAGAATGCACCCGACAATGAAGGCATGAAGCTCTTCAATACCTGGCAAAAGAAACGCCATGGGTCGCGAGAACCGGTCAGAGCGGGTTTGAAGGGAACCGGTTTCCGCTGGTTTCCGCGTTCGCCAGTCGGGTAGAGAAGGAGACGGGAAAGCGAAGAAAACGTGTCCTGGTGGGGCCACGAAATCGGGTGGTGGTTTGCTTCCTTGTATATAGATAAGATAGGCTGTGGTAAATCCTTCTACACTCCCCAGAACATAAATATAGGATCCATGGAAGCTCTCTTGACTATGTTGTAGATGGGCTGTGGTCAAGAACATAGATCTATGGAAGCTCCCTTGACTTTCGGAAAGAAACAAACGGCATCCAGGCAGCCACGAGGTCCCTGGGAGTCGCAGCGGTTCCAGTTCGACTAAACCATACACCAAACGAATTCCTGGTTCCTTTTTGTAGAGTGGCTGCCTACGATCCACAGGGAGAGCTTTTCCTGATCCACCACGTTCCACTTTCATCAGCTGATTGGTGAGTCAGAGTGTCAGCTGATTTGGTCTTGCCTGGGCCCCAGTTCCAGGACACCAGTTCGGCCGCCTTTTCAGGGTTCCAGGACGGAGTTTGGCCGACAGCCTGCCTGGCCTAGCCGAACCAGTTCCATGTGCTACGCAACCGGAAGCAGTTCAGAACCACCAGAGGTGATCGACCCTGGTGGCAGTTCGGTGGCAGTTCGACCAGCCCACCAGCCCAGCACATGGGCAAATTCGACGTGCCAGAGCCATGTTGACCCCTTGACCCCTTCCCTACATGGTTGAGACCTAATTTGTAAGACACCCTTGTAATTAGACACCCTGCCCAGACTCAGAAAAGATTCCATTGAAATCTGGTATTGAAGAGATTGGACTAGGACCTAGTTCCTAAGCGCTAGAGTCCATACATTATCCAAACATCTTGGGCAAATAATTAATAGTATTATAGTTCTGCATGTCTTCCAACCTGGTTTGATGCACGCCTCCACGGGCAGCATCGAGGCCAAGCTCTGCACATAGACTTCTCCCGTGTACTGTTCCAGCCATTGCCCTGGCTCTTCTTCAGCCTGGCAAACACAAACAGAAATCGCAGAGGCGACGGAGGTTCCTTTTGTAGACACACCGATGTACCCTCTGAAAACCGCGGCCCCGATCGCAAACCTGAGGGTGAAGCATCCAGTCACTATACCACCATAGCTGGTAACCAGTGGTTTCTGAGATTGATGTAGTATACTACCATGCATAGACCGAAAAATACCCTTGGTTCCTTATACATGTTGTCAGCCTGGTAAGAGGATGAAGGGTGAGCTGTCACACACCACTTCGTTGTCAGCACAGCACCCTTAGAAGACTTATCATTATGACTTTCCTTTCAGCCTCAAGCCTAACTGCACAATGCATATCAACATGTTGTAAATGCATATCAAAAATGCGTATTTTCTGCATATTGGCCTCCCTAGGCAAATGCATATTACCTTGACACTTGTTTTTGCAAATATATGCATTTGTGCTCCAAAAAAATATGCAGAAAATATGCATTGTCTCTAGGAAAATGTATATTTTCTGTATTTTCAGCATATTGGCCTCCCCAGGAAAATACATATTTCCTTAACACCTGTTTTTACAAATATATGCATTTTTGGCCCCCCAAAGATATGCAGAAAATATGCATTTTCCCTAGGTAAAATAAGTCTTATCAGTGGAGACCCAGTCAAGAAGAGCACTCCATCGTTTCCCGCCAGGTCTGCACGTCTGGTTCTTCCCAACTCCCAAATAAAATTACAATTGAACATGACTAATATAATATCATATATTTTGGTATATAGCTTTTTTTCTGATTCTATAAAAGCCGGAAAAACAAGAGCCTCTTCCTTGAGTGGTGGAGCTGGAACACCGATCCGGCCCAACCGGTCCCGTGCCTCGATGAAACCGTCCGAGCACCAGGGCGTCGGCCGACCGCGCCGCCGCGTCAAGCGGGCCTCGTCCGGTGGTCCCGGGTGGTCCCGGGTCGTTACAGGATCCCCAAGGTGTTACGCTGGAACACCCCGTCGAAAGAAATGGTTCAATTGCTCCAAGATGGCCTGGCAGAAGAGATCCTTTTTGTTCACACAACAGGTGGTTGGGACTGTGGAAACAAGTGGTTGGGACAAGGAGTCTTCCGGTTGGGATATGCACGAAAGTCTTCACCGAGGATCAAAAGAGTTCTCCTTCCACTTCTTTTGTCAAAGCATCAGTGAGATCAACGCGCGACGTTGGGTGTGCCACCGCCGGTTCCACCACTCCCGCCTCTGGCACCTTCCGGGGGTTCGCGCGCCAGCTGCGCAGCGGCCGTCGTGCACAGGCGCGAAGGAAGCGCCGCAAGGACAAGGCGTAGAGGCCAAGCGAAACGGCCTGGCCAGGCGATGGGGCTGGGCAGTGCAGGCTAAGCCATGCCATCTCTATGAAAACACTGCCGAAACCATTCTTGCAGCCGAATCCCCACGCAAGAAGTATCATGCAAGAATCGAACAGCACATGCTCGACAGCCTGCGGAGGCATACAAACAAACTCTGTGTGATGATCAAAATGACTGAGTTGATTTCTTCAAACACAACAGGACCGTATTGCTAGCCTACTTCGCTCAAAGTTTCTTCAGGACCCAAGTGATGTGTTACCTTCAGGTTTCCTCTTCACCGTAGCAGGGAATGATGATGGCCAGTAGAGTGACCACATAATCTTGTAGCAATTTATGAAGCCAACCCGAAACCCTAACCCTCAAGCCCTGAAGGAGTTAGGGTTTCAGTCCCTCAAACGTCCCCTAAAGCTTCCTGTTTTCAACGCATCCATCTCCCGCCTCAGCCAAGAACTGTCGTGGCAGCTGCGGCCAGCGCCGCAGCACTTTCTCGCAGCGAAGCGGACCGCCCGCAGCCACCCGCAGCCGACAGTGCGGAACGCGGCGGCACCAGGCATGGGAAGCGAAGGGCTCGCCTGCCGGCGAGTAGATGCGGAAACCAGGGGGTGTTTTGTAGCGGGATGCAGGGGGTTGGATGCAGTGCAAATGCAAGTGCCGAGGTGCCAAAAATACGACGTGTCGGTCTGCAACATGTTTCGGAGGGTCATCTGTGTGTGTGTGTGTGTCAACCCCTGTTCCACAGGGAACTAACCTATCTATTGCGCCTATGGGCACATGGATGGCATGGGCCAACGAAGACCCACCCATGATGCCGTGAAAACGTACCTGCGTCAATTTTTCAAGAACTTTTGAATGCACTGTTGAAACATTCTGTTGATCTGACCCAGCACTTCTTTTCAGTCAAGGTCGAAATTGCAGTAACACTAAAGTGCTAATGCTCGCTCCGAATTTCTGAAACTCCGCTCTACGGAGCACTCTTCTCAAGTGTAATGCGCAGTTTCTTCCCACTGTGGTGAGCTGTGTGAACCCTACGGGGCGCCGTTACTGCATCGAGCCTGAATTTTCTTCTGAATTTCTCTGAATCTCTTATGCTCGAAGAGAGTGGATGATCATTGTCTCACACATTACACGTAAATTATACTGCAGAGTTCACTGTATAACTTTACTGGAGTCGTTTCACCCCAGGTGATGTATTAAACCGCCGATTCGGCTTCTCGGTCAGTGCCTATGGCCCGTGCCGTTCGCTCGCAAGAGCATCCACCCTACCCCGCACCCACTGCACCTTTGCTTATTGTTCCTTGCCTTTTTGTTTGTCTTGTTCCTTCCTTCAGGCTTTTTAGATATGATCCAGGCTCGTTTAGTCAACGCACGCCCTGCCCCCCCCGCACCCCCTGCACCTTTCTCTTCTTTCCTTGCCTTTTCGTTTGTCTTGTTCTTTTCTTCAGGCTGGTTAGGTGGCATCCAGGCTCGTTTAGTCAATGCACGCCCGAACACCCCTTCACCCCCTGGCGAAAAAGCAAAAGAAAAAGAAAAAGAAAAATGACTGAAAAGAAAAAGCAAAAAGAAGCGGTCAAGAATACTTAGCGCTGCAGCATGGCAGCCATTTGAAAAAGACAGCTTGCGTTGAGTTGTTCCTTGAATAGTACTAGATGCGCCGTTTCGGCTTCTTGTGTGTGTCAACCCCTGTTCCAAAGGGAACTATAGTGGGTTCCATAGTGTTGACATCTTCGGAGGGGTCCAGAAAATTGGGTTTCCCAGAGTCTTGACATGCACACAACGATCGATGCCTACGGTCTTGACCTTTGCCCCCCCCCCCCCCCAAAGAGACCAACCAAAATCCACTCACTGGTAGCCCTGTTGTCTTGACATGCAGTACTGCTTAGCATCTAAGACTGTATACTGTTACCTATGTAGTCTTGACACCACCGACACAAAGACACCAACGACACAACGACCTAATCTGAATAGTCTTGACATACACATCCTCCCGATTGGTGTTCATTTTTCCTCGAAGCTGTACAAATAGTCACTTTGGGGTGTTTGGTACCATCTGGTACCAACGCACTGGCAAATCGCCTTTTGGCTGAGGTGGCAGCTCAAACATATGAAACACTACATATGGGCCACAGCAAAAGCATCAAACACAAGAAGGTGCATAGAGACTAGCAAAGATGTGGCCTTAGGTTTCTGCCACCTTGGAAGTGCTGTGTACTGTCAGGACTATAGGCTAGACTGCTACAGCACTACAGTGTCAAAGAAAACCATCGGAAAAAAGCGACAAACTAAATTTCCTTCACACCTATAGTCACTGAAGCGCCAAGCAAGTCGTATCACTCAAGCTCATCATCAGGCCGGCATGCAGGGGCTGGCAGTGGAGGTTCGTCCTCACAGTGGACAAAAACTCTTGCGCCAGTTGACAATTTTGGATTCTCTATACATTCTCTTGTTAACCCTGTTGTCATGACACTGTCCAAAAACGCGGATGTTGTTTATCCTCTCTCTATATTATATATATATATATACAACATCCCCATTTGCTTGTGTACACGCTGTTGGCTTGAAACTGTCCTCCGGAGTGCCCTGTGCATGAGCTTGCGAAAAAGGTTCCTCCCCACAGATTGAGTTGGACAGATATCACTAAAGATGAAAAACAAAATAACTAACCGGACAAGAATGAAACCAACACCGGCTGTGGGTTAAACAGAAGTCTCCTATTTGGGACAGAAGAACATAATCTGAATTTTTGAACTCTTGCGCGCGTTGACAAGTCAGCAATCCCAGAAACAGCTCTACTCGGTGTCAAGACTCTAGGCTAAAGCAACGTCTACGGGTATTCTCGGTGTTGGCCTCGACGGGAGTATTTCCTTGCAAGTTTGTAGCCTGCCAGTCAGGCAGAGGGGTTGCGCCAAGACAATGCAGTAAGCATAGCTTCATGGCTCACAATGCATTCAACATTGTCCTGTCATGTCAAACACTACAAGTATGCACATCAAATCCGGTCAGCATGCATTTGTTTTGTGCCACGCTTCTGCTGTATGTACACATACGCATAGGCATATATCCATGAATTGTTGCATGAATGCAATTCAATTCCTTCTCTCATTCATCATCCTGGAAGAACCGTGCAATCCGCTTGAAGTCCTCCAGCATTGCAAGCTGCTCAGACCGAATCTCAGCAAGAAGAGTCAGGGACTGTGTTCTCAATGGCAACAAGCGCCGGCGGTAGACTTCCCCTGATCTGCATTGACCCGCAAGTAGACTGGCCCTTTGGATCGAATCACTGGCTGTTTGAACAAGGTGTATGCATTGCTCGAAGGCAACCAAATTGTTCATAAGGTCTATCAAATCCGGGCTCTGGCCACCAACTGCCGGCCGGGCATTTGCTGGAGGACGGCTATTAGCTGGAATTCGGCTAGCCCTGCCACTGACTGGAGCTCTGCCTCCTCCTCCAGGACTACGAGACCGTGACCTGTCTGCCAAGGGTTCCATGGCGTGAAAGGCCACCTGCTCAAAAACTTTGCGACTGGTATATATATATATATGCGCTTTTGAGCAGAAACTAGCAACAAGTCGGAACAAAAGGGTTCCACAGACTGCTTGAAGTTTTCCCGAAGAGTCTCCCCACAAACATGCCTTGAAGCCTGTTGTCTTGACATACGATACAAAAGATTTCTGGAAAGCTCCCAAAAGCGACAAATGCTCAGAAAAGCAATGGAAAGATATGTTGTTTTGTTTCGTTGCCTCTTCACCAGGCGGTTGATGTGGAGGTCCAGATTCCTCGGGTCAAACATGGTCAAACTTCAACCAAATGTGAACTGGCACCCCAACTGTCAAGTCTGTTGGTCACACAATGCTTCAACATGCAAAGGCACACCCTCTTACTGCCAAACACACAAGCGCAAAAGATGTCTGACTTGTGAAGAGCTAAGGCAGTCAGTCGTTTTAAAAATGATCCATGTTGTCGGATTCCTCTGAACAAAAACATGAGTCCACTCACATAGTGTGGACATGTAGCAGCATGCTGAGGCCAAGCACTTGTTCATCACCATGTCCTTCCTGCCAAACAGGAAAACACCACAGGAGTATTTCACAAGTAAGACCTCTGAAGGAACACATCGGGTGTCATGACTACGGCTTACCCACATGCAATATGGAAGATGGAAGATGCAAGCCCGCGTCTGCAGCACAGCCTTCGGGATCTCTTCTGACTCTTCTCGCACAGCTTCCCGCACAGATGGAGTCTTCAAAAAAAAGACATGGAAGCGATGAGCTGAGCATTTTCCTTCTTTTGTACTAGTAGAAGCATTTCACGAGTAAGAACTCTGAAGGAACATATCTCTTCTAGCGC